TACATATGTATGGTACGTACTTATTAAGGTGAGATATATCTATAGTTGGCCTACCATATATGTGTCTAATTTGTCTGTGTACGATTTGTCTACCTTGGGGAGTAGAGAGTTCGCGCGTTCACATCAAATTATAAGTCATAACCGACTTTAAGTCGAGGTTTGGGTTTAGCGGTTAGGGTCTGGCTAAAAGATAGGAGTTAAAGTTATGGGTGAGAGCGCAAGAAACACGATTTTGGTAAGGTTAGCTATTCACAATGCTTTCCCGACACTATCATGTATTCCACATGGAACACTTGGGCAACATTTATTTTGCTAATATAGAACCTATAAAATGTGCCAGATAATACTGGGTTAACAGATGAGTAAGTGGTGGAGTGATGCTAGACGCGCATTTCTTTAGTAGGCGGGTGGTTATTTTGTCAGGACCGGAAGCTTTATTTGGATTGAGATTGTTGAGTGCGTTACGTACTAGAATGATGTCTGAAATAGTTTCGCTGCATGATGGTGAAACAGTGCAACAACTATCTCCAGAGTTTTTAAAAATACAGAGTTGAAGTAGCGGTTGAAGTGGTTGGCACTTTCATCGCCATAGCTATATAGACTTGAAAGTGACGTGACCTGGGTTAGCTGTTCTTAATGCTTTTCCAACGTATCATGTACTTACAATACTCATGTAAACCTTTGTTTTGTTAATCTAATTGTCAACTCTCATTCTCATTTGACCCGGGCTTTACGGTAAGCGTCTAAATGTTGGGGGGTAGTGCTAGAGTTTGGTAGCGTTAGAGTATTAAAGGAATGATGTTGTTGGATGAGATTTAAAAGGTTTACGTACAATTTGTGCCGTTCGAAATATCTATTTTATTACGCCTGGTATAGTTTCTAAACTCAAAGTCAAACTCGAAATTGACATCACTTCAGTCGAGACGAACTCTAACTCGGGAATAACTAGAACTCATGCATCCGCTCTTAAGAAATTAAAATATCTTTGTAAAGCGCACTAAATTCTTGGGAATTAAAAAACAGCTTCTTAAACTGTTTCTTTAGGCCACATAAAAAAAATAGTTGGTTAGCGTCCTTAGCTTTTGCCAAAAAGTGGGCGGGCGGGCGCTTTTTTAAAAATTTTTACTAATTTTTAGCGCCTCGGTTTTAGGTCCGAAACTGGATTTTCTTGCGCAGTACAGATATTTTTTTTATATATTTCAAAATATGATTCATACCGTCATTTTCGCACGCAATTTCGCAACTTATTAACACAATTGACTACAGTCAATAGAAATACTACATATATTAGAGCCCGTTGATCAATTAAAGTTGGGGTTTTTTAAAATAAAAAATAAACAAAAATCCTGAGCGGGGCCTTTTTTGTGGGCGGGCGAGGACGCTAACCAAGTATTTTTTTATGTGGCCTTTATGCATAAAATTTACTTACGTCAAGCTTTGAAGCCCGCCGCACACGAGAGCAACTATCTCGTGTGCGGATAGTTTTCGTGAGGATTTGACCTCTCAAGGCCTTGAGGAAAATATCTATCGTGTTTAATATTTTTCGCGAGGAAAAAATCTCAGCGTCTGCGGATGTTGTGAACAAGTGCTGAGCTGTTTGAATCAATTAGCCAATGACAAACCATGGTTTCTTCATGTGACTTGGAACAAAATCGAAGAAAATGCAAATGATTTTGAATGTCAATTATGTTGTTGTTGAGTAGTTTTCTCAACGTGTGCGGTGAAAATACATAGCAGTGAGCTAGCTGCCTCGCGAGGCGGTTAGCTCAGCAAGATGCTCTCGTGTGCGGCGGGCTTTAGGTACGTGTGGGTTCTACAGAGTGTCGAGGCATTCAAATTCTAACAATGCGCGTTATTTCAATAGTTTTCGTTTTTTGGGACACTCTGTACATATCGTGTACAAAAGGTAGACATGCACATTAGACAAAAAGCAGACACAATGTATATATAGGTGTAGAGTACAAAAGGTTTACAAATATAATCTCGAACGGTCTGTACCAGTGTCGCTTGCGATAACAGCAAATCAATAAGGAAAATGTCGAAGTTTCGCTTGTATTTTTGTATCTAGACCCTATCCATCCGAAGTGTAAAGTCTACAAAGCGTACAGAAAGTAGACAATGTCATGTAATAAAATAGAAAAGTAGAGCGCATTATGTGATTATGGCACAATGCAACCTAATCAGGGCATGCAGTACATTTGACTAAAATCTCGTTAAAGCCCTGCAAAAAAACATTTGGCTCTCAAAAGCTAAAATACGACTAATTTTATGAAACACATGCAGCAGTCAAAAGTTATTAATTGTCCTCGGCGTCTCTATAAATAATATTAATTGAGCCCTGCTAACCAATGTCGTCGTACTTGTGCATGTGTTAGTGTATGTGGGGCAGAATCTATTGTATGTACAGTACATGCATGCCAACTATATATGCCCTAAATATTTAAATCACCAAGCATATAATTAAGTATTTGGTATATATTTAGTGTTACTTTGGCCTTGCAAATTTAGCTCTATCTCCTTATTAAGTTTATTAAAAAATAAGCCTATACATCAGTTACATGGCATGCATGAGAACGATCGCAAGTGAAGGATATGGTCAAGAAGAAAATTCAAATCAAAATTTTGCTATAAGAAGCGAAAACTGAAACCTCTGGCTTTACTAAGTTGATCTGACACAATGGTAAACTACAAGCAGCCTCATTTATTCCGAAGCGAAAAATTTCAAGATTTCAATATCAATTTTTTTTTCACTTTGAGTCTTTGAGATATACCTCTAGTCCAGAGTGCATGGCTTGGAATTCGAAATTTTCTGCACTAACTATGCAGTGGGATACTAGAAACGTATAGTCGTAGAGTCTGATATCCATCGAAAAAATCTAGTTTGCCCCACTTGGATAGTGATATTCAAAACAAGGCAAAATTAGTTTTCAATAAGTAATGAATTTCATATAATAAATGTTCCATATATATAAGATGTGTTTATAAAGGATTCATAAACGAAAGGAAAATACTCTAACTGTGGAAGATATAAATTTGTTTAGTATCTCCAAGAGTTGATGCTTGTGATGTTACACTGAGTGTATATCAACACCGGGCATGCAAGCTTGAAAAATATGCCTGGCCATGGTGGGAATCGAACGTACGACCTTTGGTCCTGACCAGGCATATTTTTCAAGCTTGCTCGGTGTGGATAAGCACTCAGAGTAACATACACCAACATAGAAAATTGCGTCGTTCCAGAAAAGATCCATATATACTCCCCCCACGGAGGAAATTTCTGCCGTCCGGAGGGGGAGGGGAGAAAAATCTGTTTCTGATAATAGTAAATGTATTAGGATATCCGAAGGGGTAGGGGGGGGGGTAATTTCCTACTTCCTCCGTGGGGGTGGTATGGATGTTTTCTGGAATGATCCATTATCATGGTATTCAGTCTTACATTAGCATTTTTTAAGCTTGCCCGGTGTGGATATACACTCATAGTAACATCACAAGCATCATATTCACCTGAGTACATTACGCCAGCATAGAAAATTATCATGGTATTCAGTTTTACATTAGCATTAGCTACAGAGATTGAAGTTTCAGATATTCAACATATCAAATCAATTGATAGACTCCTAGACTAATTTAAAGTGGTAAAGCCATTTAAGGTTTTGATAAATTAAATATTTAAAAAAATAAACTAAATTTTGTTACCAGACCTGAAAATAGTAAAAGAACTTTGCCAGGTCAGTGATAGAAGGAAAGTGTCACAATTGCTGGTTGGCGTCCTATTCTTTCCACAGCAAATTCCTGCAATTTTCTATTTCCTGTATACCCCTTGCAGTGTCTGCTTCAATTCCCTATGAATGTATTGAAATCTAACTTAATTTAACATACTTTGACAAGTCAAAAAAGTGGTGTAGTCAATCTATAGCTATAACTAGAAGTTACTATCGCAAGGGAAGTGCTGCCTCAACACCAAAGTCCTGGGGGTTGATTATACCAATAAACTTCATTTACTTAAATTGCCTTATACACAGGGTATGTATGAATTTATTTTGTTTAAGAAATATCGAAATTACAACATGCAATAATTACTATATATACTATAAAGTGTAGTTCGGATTTCCATATTTAAATGTATGCTCGTGATTGTTGGTACCAATGTTTTAAACAATCTTCACTTGTCAAAACGTCTAGAAGAACACAATGAGGAATATACACGATATGTCTTTTAACATGATATGACCAGTTTGTTGCAAGTTTTGATATTCTTTTTTTCCAAGGTAATGATAGTCCATACTGTATTTTCCATTTTGTAAACAAGTCTTATACTATTCGTTTTTTGTCCAATATATAAATATTTCGTATTTATTTAGCATGTACAGGTAGTATCCATTGTTGGCCATCATTATTGTCCAATAACTTGTTAGATTACTGTACATATAAAGGTATGTAATATCTTGGCATACAATGTTCCTGACATCCATATGGTAGATTGGAAACAAGTACAGCAAAATTCAGATTCCATCCCATTGCATTAGATGTAATATACAGTATCCATACAAACTTGTAAATCAGCATTCTTGTTTTAATAGAAATACATTTCTGTTAATCCAGAAGCTCCCATCCATTTTCATGCAATGTAATATATCCATATTATATTTTGACTTTAACAACCATTTGGTTTCATACAGCAGTTAACATGGCACCATTTACATCCGTCAGAATTGCAAAACTATAGAAAAAATAATTGCCAGCATGAGATATTTACTTAGAAACATGGTAGCACATAAATGAATGAAAATAAAAGTAGGGCAGGGGGAGGGGTTTAATTAACAAACAAAATACTTACCATTATTTCAACTTGCAAATCATAATATTTTCATACATACAGTGATAACAATGAGTAAATTAGTTATTAAATAATAAATTACATTATTTAAAAGGGTATATAGTCAAACTACATACCAAAATATAACTGGGACCCATATATGAAATCCCACTCTTATTCAACCTCAATAGTTTGTTGTTCTAAATGCACTGCTAGTAGCCTGTGCTAACTGATCTAGCCTGTTTTCTTCTTCAAGCCTATATTGTAAGTTAGCTGATGATTTCAAGTTTGATAATCGTTCATACGTCATTGGTTCAATGACACAAGATGCAAGTGATTTTACTCTACTAATAGCAACATAGGAAACTCCAGCAGTTCTTTCAGATTTGCCAATATCTATCCATGCTTTTGGAAGCGTAAGTCCTTGGCTCTTGTGTATTGTTAGAGCCCAAGCAAGCCTAAAAGGTAACTGTTGTCTCTCATGGGAACCTATTTCTGTCTGTGATGTGACAGTGATTGGATATATTGGGATACACAATGGTTGGTTTTCATTAAAAACAGGTCCTCTATAGTTTTCAAATTCTACTATTACCGCAATAGGTAAGTCAGGTGGTTGATGGTTGTTCTGATAGATAATATCAACAACTGTCCCAGTAGCACCATTGCAGAGACCAACACTTGACCACAAATTCATGGTTAACATGACCCTAGCACCTTTTGCTAGAAACACAACAGGTTCTAACCCAGACATATCATCTGAGGAGATTTTTTTTGCCAATGCTGATGAATGGCGAGCATTAATATGAGCAACTGGATGCTCAAGTTTTGTTAGCTGCTCATGGCTGTAATTAGCAACTTGTTCATTACTATAAAAGAGTCTAGTAGAATCTTCGAAGTCACATAAATTAGTGACATTCGATGGTTGACGTGTCAGAAGTAACTTCCAGTCATCAACTGTTGAGTTGCCTTTGCGAAGTCGTAATAACAAATCTCTGAACTGTACTTGCTCAGATGTCATACCTTGCATGCGTTGATTTACAGTGAGTTTAACAACTTTGTCAAACATATGATATGCTTGATGACCTTGTTCACCAACAGCGTTTGATGGTCTAGCATGGTAAAGAGGTTTATCTGCTACTGGTGGCAATTGACCTGGATCACCAGTTAAAATCAATGATTTTCCTCCAAAAACGTTGTCATTATAACCAGTTGCTTGTTTGCAACGCTTGTCTATCCAACCAAAAGTAACTTGGCCAAGCATGGAGTATTCATCAATAATGATGTATCCAATGTTATTAACACTCTCTTGTAACCTACACAAGCTTTGTCCTGTTAGGTCTTTTTTACCTCTTGATCCTATAGGTAACTTTAATAGAGAATGCACAGTTACACCTCTAATGTTATAAGCTGCTTTACCTGTGGTAGCAGCAACAGCACATTTACTTTGCAAAAGATTTCTAATGGCATTAATAAGGTAACTTTTACCAGTTCCTGCAACACCATTTATAATGAGACATAATGGCTCTTTTTCAGATGATATATCATCAAAATGAGACTTAACAATATCATAAGCAAGTTTTTGCATTTCACTAAAACTGTTGATGTCAACAACATCATATTGCTCATCAATAGTGTATTCCTCTTTGTTTGTTTTTATCCATGTTGGCATTTCTTGGATTTGTTGTTGAGAATAATTGGCTCTGTCAAGATGCCAGTCATATGTGGACTCTGGTGTTTGTTCAGAGTTGTCAAAAGGAGTGTTGAGGTCTGATAATATCATCCACTCTTCTCGAGTTGTCTCCTGTTCTTCAGACGGTTCATCTTCTGATTCTTGAATTTGAATGACAGCTTGTAATTTATCAAACCAGTCTGGGACATTAGATTGCCCATAAGGTGTTTGTAAAAAATCATGCCAACAATTGATCAGAACCTCGTCAATTGGTTCTTGGTCACCCAATGCATTGTTTTGGGTTGTTCTCCACGGTTTATACCTCAAAAGTTGATATTTACAATATAGGCCAAAATTTGGACCTTTGGGATTAGGAGAATATGTTGGAAATATTCGTGGTATAATATTCTCTGGTAATTTTGTCAGTTCATTGTTAACAACTTTGTATGTTGTAGCAAATTGAACAAAGTTCATATTTATTATATTTTGTGAACTCTCATATTGTTCACGATTAGCATACACATCAAGAAGTGAATAATCGGTGCACGATTCACCCTCGTCAATACTTGCAGTATCACGCACTCTACGTGAACCATTTAGACTAACTGGCATCACTTTAAAGGATGAGCTGTGGAGTTTTAAAGACAACAAATGATGCATGGTCTCTTGAGCTGCATAATCTCTTTCACCAAGAGATTTCATAACTACCTTCTTAATAACTCTACGAGGGTCAGTATTACTGTCAACATTTTGGACAATAGAATTGAATGCCTGTTTCAATATAGGTGATCTTGGTTCACCTTTAGCTGCATATTTTGTGAGATATTCAACACAAGCATAGTGATCAATAACAACTTGAATATCACAGTTAGCTCTCCATCCTTGGAGCTGAAGTTGTTGATGGTTATTTAATCTAGAGTCATTTCGTTTAGTCACAATCTTAGCTCGATAATGCTCATTATCACCTGAAGTGTGAATTTTTTCAAATTCTAATTTTGTCTTAGGACAAATATCAAAAGGGAAATGAAATCTACATTTCAAGTCTGTTTCATTTGACTTCTTTCTAAGACAATAACTTGTACTGGAACGAGTATGTCGTTGAACCATGTTTAATAGATCTACATAATCTGATTGTTTTTCATGTTCAGGAATGTCATGACTTCTTTGACATGGATGAACCCCAGGTCTTATCCATGTGTCCTCATCTGGTGGATTAGGATTGACGGTTGATAATAACCAATCAACATACTGACATACTGTGTCAGCTGCTTTCTGCCCAGCTTCAATATCCTGGTCTAGTTCAGTTGCGTCAGAACAATCATTTTCATCTTTAAATTTTTGAGCTAAGAAACCTTTCAAAGCAGTCTGAGTAAGTTGACACAAACCTGGGTCATTATTTAGTTTAGCAGTACCATGACAGTGGATACTACCTCTACCTTGGTATTCATATCGAAACCAGTGCCATTTTGCACCAAGTGTATCATAAAGCCAGTGTTTTACAAAGCTTTCTAATCTTTGGGTGAAAAACCAATCTACAACATGGGGATTGTTGATCACATTTTGTCGTCTTACATCACTGGTAGAGTTACCTAACTCATTGTCAGTATCAGTTTTAAATAAAGCATGTAACTCAGGCCAATGCATATCTGCAGAGGAGAAAGTGAAAAATAATGTTGGTGCTCCAACACTAGTTATGATAGCTTTGAGTTCCTCTCTTACTCTATTCCAGTAAGCATTAGTACCTGCAATATTGCCAACATATCTCGACACTTTAGACATAAATACACTAGCATTGTTACTGACAGCCATTTCACGCAGTTCATCTATTGTGAGATGAGCTTCTCCTGGGTTCTGTTTGAGGAAATTCCACTTTGTTGTAAAATTCGTTTTCTTTGAATCATGTTAAAAGCCCAATAAGAAAATCTGGGGTGGTTAGCAAAGGCAGGTGTAAAAGTCGGACCGGATCGCCAGTCCGGGTCGGATTAGGTCGGATCAGGTCGGATCTTTAGAAAATTTAGAAATATCAGGATATTCCGGGAAATGTTACTTACACAAATGGAAGTTTGCATCTTTCCCGCGTTATTTACACAGCGTGGCAAATCGGAAAAATGGAATAGAACAGGTTAGGGGCACTTTAAAAGCCTTTACTTGTGTTGGGAAAATGTTATGGAAAGACGGTGAATTATACTTTAAGCTTTGCTTTATATTAGTCGAGTCCCATTGTTTAACGTCTACGCGTCATTAGCTGAATTCATATTAGAAGACAGATTTCCGTCCAAGACGGGAAACTCGTCTCAGACCAGAAACTCGTCTTGGTATAAATCCGGTTAACGACGGGTTCTCCGCGTTTCAACTTTTCCGTCTGACGAGTTTCTCGTCTTAGACGGAAATCCGTCTTAAATTTATATAAGACGAATAAATCAAGACGGGTTTCTGCTCGTAACGTTCAAAAGAAACTTGGATGGTGAGGGTCTCCTATTTTTTCGAGTTTATCCGTCCGATAGTTTTCGTTTCATACTTATACCAGACGGAATCCAGCTATTGCCATGGCTATTTTAAAATTTTGTGATAATAAAGCTGCATATAAGTATAATGTCTAATGAAAACAATAGTGTAGATGTTTCTGATCAGAGTTCTGCATCTTCAAATTTCACATGTGAAGCGTGTATTTTCGTTTTGGCAATTTGGCACGGCCGGACTAGCGATTCGGTCATCAATGCGATCCAGTCCGACTTTTATACCTGCACGATCCGACCTAATCCGACGCGGACTGGCGATCCGGTCCGACTTTTATACCTGCACGATCCGACCTAATCCGACCCGGACTGGCGATCCAGTCCGACTTTTATACCTGCACGATCCGACCTAATCCGACCCGGACTGGCAATCCGGTCCGACTTTTATACCTGCCTGGTTAGCAAAACGGTATACCCATTTACCATCAATAATTTCAGCAAATTTTAGAAGATGCTTTATTCGTTCGTGAAGAGGGACATCTCTCAGAAGTCCTTGATTAGTAGGATCACCTTTCCCATCTGGAAATAATGTCGGGAAAGCCATTGTGGCCAGATGTGATATCTGATACTCATTTATTGGCTCATTTTCAACCGAGGGCCATGGCATTGGCTCATTTTCAGACAGCTGATTTCTAACAGCTTCAATTTCCGTTTGTTGTTGTTCACCAACAGGTAAAAAACTACTCATTTCAGTAGAGTCATTATAAACAATATCCTCTGATGGATTATCAGTAGGAGGACCTACATCAGGAGAACAATTGTCATCTGAGACTATATCATCATCAGTCTCAACAGTCATGAGACCTGGTGGTACACCATTTTCAGGTAAGGAATTTAATGCATCTTGATTAATTAATAACTCAGAATAATGAGGATTATTATTGATAAGCCAAACTAAAGCATTGTGCACTTTTTGCTTTCGCACAGTCACATCTCTGAATGTGTTTTCTCTACCTTTAGCCTTGACAATAATCACAGCTAAGTCTTTAGGATATCTTGGCAAAGACATTGCAAGTTCTTTGACATTTTGTGGCAGGTTAATACAATGCCCCGAAAAACCTCGTTGACCACCAGGTTTAATATAAACTCTCATGATGGGCAAAGCACGAGCAATCAACATTTCCTCAATCTGTGTTAAATTTTGCAGTTCATGTGGAACACATGAAGGTATCATTAAATTTTCACAAGAAAATTTTTTTGGAGATTTTTTATCTCTAAAGCATCGTGAACACACATAAGGTGTCCTTGGTTTAGATTTTAAGGGCCATGCCTCCTGACATTCTGTACACTGACTGACAATGTATTGCACAGACTTACTAAACTTATTAATGTTAGCCTTAGCCCAACATTGTTCTTCAATACCACCATTTTTGGTTCTGTCAAACATATTTAAATAGTCCTGTTGATTTAATATTTCATGTTGAGGCTGTGACACTTTTTTTGCCCGCTTTTGTTTTTTATTAAGTCTATCTTTCTCAAGCCTCACTTGTCTGCTGGTGTCAGTTTCCTCTGCCCGCTTTCTTTTTTTAGACTCACTATCCTTTTGAAGTCTAATTTGTCTGTTGGTGTCAGTTTCCTCTGACCGCTTTGTTTTTTTAGACTCACAATCCTTTTGAAGTCTAATTTGTTTTTCACTGTCAGTTTCCTCTGAACGTTTCTGTTTAATAAACTCACTTAATTTTTGAAGTCTTATTTGCCGTTCACTGTCAGTTTCCTCTGAACGTTTCTGTTTAATAAACTCACTTAATTTTTGAAGTCTTATTTGCCGTTCACTGTCAGGTTTCCTCTGAACGTTTCTGTTTAATAGACTCACTTAATTTTTGAAGTCTTATTTGCCGCACACTGTCAGTTTCCTCTGACTGCTTTCTTTTTTTATACTCACTAGCTTTCTTCAGTCTAGCTTGTTTATCACCTTCATTTTCTATTAAAAGCCTCTTTTTCAGGACATACTCTTGATCCTTTACGCACTTACGTTTTTGCTCTGAAGCTTTACATATATTTAATTGCACAGGTACAATTTCAAATAAATTGGCATGCAATGTCACTGAAACAGAATACAAATATTGTTCTAATTCTAGAATATTAGCAAATTTCATGACAACAGCAGTGCCATTAGGATCAGGCATGCCATTAGAGTCTCTGGCATGGGAGTCAAATAAATAGAAAAAATCTACTTGCTTCATCAATGCCATCATATAGCCTTCTAATATTAAAATAGTACAACTATAATTTGAAAACACATTCAAAAGTGCTGTGTGAATGTCATAGTAGTGCGACTCAATTTCTCGGTTGGTTATAACAAGACCTTGAAGCTCTTTTCCATAATTTATAAACCAAATTTGGTTTTTATTGTTTTCCTCATTAGGCACCACAGAATTGTGCTCTACACCAATAGATAGATCAGTGTTACCCCTTGCCACAATGGGCAGATCAGTGATACTTTTTGCCTCAACAGGCTCTACCACAATGAGTAGTTCAATGTTATTTTGTGCCTCAACGGGCTCTAGCACAATGGGTGGACTGTTATTATTTTGTCGTACCACCACGGGTAGACTGTTACTGTTTTGTCCTACCATCACAGGTGAACTGTTATTATTTTGTCTTACCACCACAGGTAGACTGTTACTGTTTTGTCCTACCATCACAGGTGGACTGTTATTATTTTGTCTTACCACCACGGGTAGACTGTTACTGTTTTGTCCTACCATCACAGGTGGACTGTTATTATTTTGTCTTACCACCACAGGTAGACTGTTACTGTTTTGTCCTACCATCATAGGTGGACTGTTATGATTTTGTTGTACCACCATGGGTACACTTTTACTGTTTTGTCCTACCACCATGGGTAGTTCAACGTTAATTTGTGTATCAAAGGGATTCATAGGTGTTGTAGTTGTTTTCGCATGCACTACAGATGATATATTACTTGTGTCGATGACAGAATCGCATATCTCGTAAGAAAACATGTTCGTACAACTTGAAACACTGACAACTTTAGGTAAGTTATCTACAGATAGGAATTCGACACCAGGTTCTAAGACAACAAAGCCATTATCCACAGCTTGCAAATACATTTTGTCTCCTTGTAATAAGACATTATTCAATGTTGTTTTCGACCAATCGATCACTGGGATACTTTGGGCAGTTAAAATTGCAGATAAACTCATAAAAGCACATTGTTTGCCTCTAGATTGAACACTAAAAAGGTCATCGCCTTGATGTATTTCAGAAGAAAGAAATAGAGCCATACTTACCTGAATTTTTCCGAAAATTTTCGATATAAACTTGCATCCGTATAAAAAGCCTGTATGAAACCAATTGTAAAATCTTGATTCTTGAGCACATGGAGTTGCGTGCGCAACACAAAATCTTGTTTCTGACCGCTCCCCTCATTTAAGAAACGTTCTCGAGGCTTAATTATTCGCCCCCGATTACGACATCTTTACATACATACAGACAGACAGACACAAGATCGAGATCTCGACAATACATAGATCGCGTGAAAGACTGGGTCGAGTGGACTCTGGAGAAACACCGCGTAGTCAAGAATAGTGTGCTGCCTCTACGAGGCAGCAATAAATAAATAATGGTTGTCATGCAGTGCTTCCACATGACAGAAGCTCGGACTGAATTGAAATATCTTCTCAGAATATATCAGAAATGAATTGATTATAAATGCCTTAAGACACATTTACACAATACTGGGTATGCTTGTCATAACATTAACTTTAACCGTTTTGGTAACCACTTGACACTTGAACTTATGAAACAAACTGATCTGCATGTGTTCATGTTGTGCTATGTGAAATATTTTCTAAAAAAAATATTGCCTATGTTTTGCTTCATTGATGTATTCCTTGCTTAACAAACACACACACAAGATGCATAAAAAGAATGAATATGAATGAAAATATCGGTGTAGTGAAGAGTAAAATGGATATTTGAAATTCATTGTACTATAGAACTCCCCCCCCAAGCCAAAATAGATATGCATCCCTCTCAAGTATTAGTTATAGTTTTATTTAGATAGTTTTTTTATGTTTGCATGTCCTAATTCGGCCCCGCAGTAATTGGCTCATGCTGTTGCGGTCACCCTGCCTATATAGTCATATATTGTAATATGGCGAAACTAATAAATAAATAAATGAGCCTCAATAGCCAAAGTGACATACTTTCCTGAAGGGTGTATTGTAAGTATTGTTTTAAATAACTTACTACCATTTTGCAAATTGTTTTATGCAGTTTCCCAAGTTCCAACCCAAGTTCAGATTCATCATCAGACACAATTCACCCCTCCCCATACAAGTGGCACAGTGTTGTCTGAACAATGAAGATTGTTCAATTTTGGGAAAAGGACAAGTTCGACAACCAAAACAAAGTCATCAAAAAAAAAGAAACAATTGACATATTCTCTGAAATTTGTATGCCTTGCCTCCAGGAATGCAGTAAAGCCACCCACTACTGTTAAGGAGCGAACTGATTTGTCAAATTCATATCTGGGAGCCAAAAGCATTACCTTGGCTGAAAATGAGCCAATCTATGATACAATTATGGAGCACTATCCCCAATTGTCAGAAGTGGGCGGGTTTGATTTCTTACTCTATCAAAGAGGTGGCGGAAGTGATGCTGGTTTTCATGTGATAAGTCCACCACATACAGTTAATCGGCTTAAAGATTTGTGTGGACAAGCGAAAATCTATATACGGCCTGTTCAAAAAGACATACCATTGACATCAAAAACCATCTCTGAAACTACATCTACAGAAATTGAGCCTTGTACAGAGAATGAGCTGAGTATGGAAGACTCAAGTCAGGTGTGTTATTTGTTTTTGTTACGAATTTAGTACTACAGTACAAATTACAGTTTGATGTATACAAAGCTAGGCCAAAAAAAATATCAACCGATTCCTATTTCTTCTTGTAAAAACTTAGGTAGGGTATGTCGGTTTTAACTTTTTATTAAACTTTTTTTTTAAATTTTCCTAACAACCGGATGCCATTAGTCAGTACTTACACATCCAAAGATAAATTTCCCTAATATTACATCAAATTTCCATTTTCCACAAATGTTTTACTCTAAGTGGAAACACTTACAAGCATGATCCAATAAAAAAAGTTTAGGGTCGGGATTTCGACATCCAAAAGCTAGGTAGGGTTTGGAAACCGGAAACCCACATTTTTTCGCCCTATGTTAATTATGCTACTTAAATTAGAAAATGTAGTTTAACCAATTACCCTGCAGAGCTTCCCCATTGAAGAGTAAAATCATCTGGCATTAGACAAGTAAAAAAAAAGTAGGGCGCACTTGGCTGTGGCGCATTGCGGCTGAATGGGTTAACCAGAGACATTGTCAGATTTTTTGGTTAACCCATTAAGCTGTAGAGCTTCCTTCATTGACGAGTAAAATCGTCTGGCATTAGAAAAGTAAAAATGTAAGTATGGTGCAATGGGATGCATTACGGCTCAATGCCAATGGGTTGATTAAAGAGTTAATGAAACGAAATTTTTGCCACATTTTTTATTGTTTTTATACTAAAAAGTACTACTGAAATCAAGTTATCACACTTGACTTTCTATACAGCATTTGCATGTCATTTAAACAAAAGAGAAGCACAATAGAATGATTGGTATATCAATAACACTGAAAGAAGGACAATAGCGTGATTTGAACATCATTTGTGCTACAGTAGTAAGTAGGTTCTATAACAACACCTTATTATATATTCCGTAAAGTGAAAATCAATTAGACAAAACAAAGAACAATTAATTGCATGAACTAATTAATCATTAACGTTTTTGCAACAACAATAGCAATAAATCAAAACACATTTAACCACAACGAATAATCATGAATATAAAGCTAACATTAAGGCAGACATTTCCCGTCCTCACATGCAACTTCGTGTTATTGATATACCAATCATTCTACTGTGCTTCTCTTTTGTTTAAATGACATGCCATATCCTACACTTTAAAAGGGGATTTACAGATTTCTAAAGGTAACAGAATGTCATAAAATATACGAGTAACTGAAATAATATTCATTAATAATTGTTGAAAAGAGGGGGGGGGGGGGACTAAAGACATGTATGCCCCCCCCCAACTAAAAAGTGGATAAAACTTGGCACACTTAATGGTGCAACCAAGTGAACATTTTGGGTTGGGTTGTTTATATGGTTGTCATGGAAACACACTTGTCCCCAGCCCATTCTCACTATTTCTTGAAATCCCAGGAAGGTTTGTGAATTTTTCAAGTCCATTTCATTAAATCCACAGATATGATTAAATCACATCATGCCACTCAACATTAGGGTGCCCATGTCCAGTTATGCAATTTGAATACATTAATCATGTCATGACTTCATTCTTAGTGCACAATTTGAAGTCTAATTGTAGAAGGGACTGTATCTTACCCTAGAAACCTAAAGTAACTGAAACTTAATATTAAGTTAACTGTTATTTTATCTGATTAAGGCAACCATTTGTGAACCTGTTTTGAAGTGCTTTGTATGTGGTATTGACTTGCCATTCAGCTGTATAAGAGAACACACATACACTCACAACACAACTGGTTCTAATAAGGTACAGTACCGGCAGGTACAAAACGCAGGTTGCAGGTTGCAGGTTGGAATTTTGCAGGTTGGGAATTTTGCAGGTTGGCATTTTGCAGGTTGGGGATTTTGCAGGTTGGAATTTTGCAGGTTGCCAGGAATTTTGCAGGTTGATGATGCAAACTTAAAATTACACCACTATAAAGTATTCTAATATAATTTAATTGTTTACTTATTGCAGTCTGACTCCTTGTCGGCACTTTTGCTATCAGTCTATCCTGCTACAATGTTCCTAGCTTCTGCTCTAAGGAGTGGCCATCACCCTTGTGAAAATATTCAAAATGACCAGATTGGCTTGAACCTTCAGGGGGACGGATATTTCGATTGTTGCGAGGAGCCTACATGACGTGGTGGCAGTTCAGAAAATGCCTGAATGAAGTGTCTCTCCTCTGCACCCACTTATGAGAAGTGTATTCAAGGCCCCAATTACCGTATCATTACTCGAGAGTTAGTTAACTTTTAACAACATTCTAGTATAAACGCCGCCAGGTCATGTTGGCACCTCGCAACAATCAAAACAATCGTCTCCCTGTAGGTCCAAGCCAATCTGGTCATTTTGAATGTTTTTTACGGGGGTGATGGCCACTAGCCTTAGAGCAGAGGCTAGGAACATGGCAACAGGGTAGGCTGATTAGCTGATATCAAAAGCGCTGACAAGGAGTCAGACTGCAATAAATGCACAACTAAGTTATACTAGAATACTAAAAAAGTGGTGTAATTTTAAATTTGCATCATCAACCTGCAAAGTTCCTGGCAACCTGCAAAATTCCAACCTGCAAAATCCCCAACCTGCAAAATTCCAACCTGCAAAATCCCCAACCTGCAAAATTCCAACCTGCAACCTGCGTTTTGTACCTGCCGTGTTCATACATATGGCCCCATCTCTGTAGGGTATTAGAGTAGAAATTTATTGAAGCCTGAAGTCAGAAAATAAATATGGCAACAAGGTTACATGCCATACTGCAGAGTTAGGCAATTTTTTTAAAGATCTCAAGGGCACAAAAGGTATAAATATAGATTGTAGGGGCAAGGGAACAAAATAATGAAATTGTGAGATTCGGGGGCAGGTTTTACAATGGGGTGCTAAAACTTTTCCCTAAAAAATCCCTGACCAGCTGGAGTGCTGAAACTGATGTTTGACTATTGAAATATCCTAGCAGGTTAGGTTCATCAGATTTTAGCTTTGTCAACCTGGCCACTCTGTTATTACAGTAATGGCTCATTTAAATAATTTCAGGTCATTACTGTAAATGTATTAAATACAAAGTATTTGAAGTTAATACTGCTGTAAAATGTAGTTTAATAATATTGTATTAAAGTGTAAACACGTTTCTCAAGTCTGGCCATGTGTTTCTCAATATTCACAATATTTAACTACAATTGTACAAATTCAGCTAACTATATTGACATACTGTATAAAATATATTACAGTAAATAGCCTTCGAAATATATATTTCATAGAGCTAGACAGTGTATAAACAAATAATGGGAATCTGCTAAATAATTTGTAACAATGAAATACTTCTAAACATTTTCAAATTCATATATACTGTACCTTTTTATACTTGATGGAAATCATCACAAATAGTATGTACGAGTTGGCTCCATTTTCACTGCTTCGAAATTCGAAACATCGCCTCCTCGGCGATTTACATGATGCGATATAAAAGAAGATTGATGTACATTCGACGTCATATATAAACGTAACATATTAAGAAGAAAGATTACAACAAAAAATAAAAGAATATAAATAATCCGCGGCAATTCAAGATCCATTCGTGAACTTTTCGTCGCCCCTCTGTCTTCATTTCCACAAAGCCCGCTCGCAGGCTAATACTCCAAGAATCTTGGAGTATTTGCCTGACACGTGACCAGCGTTTACCAGGGCTATGTCGCCGCCTCCAATTCGCGACTAGTCCTGGGTACGAGGTTGAGTTACACGAGGGGTGCAACGGAATCCGTTTTCTAAGCATCTTTTGGATGCTCATCCTACGGCCTATACTAAATTCCCCCCGGCTATTTACACCCGAGAAAACGAAAGCATTAGCGAAGTCTAAAGTTCATCAATGAGCGCGGGCGTCGGTCACCAACGATGGGTGGTCATCCCCACTGATCTCAAAAATATTGCGGACTGTCATGAATAACGGGCACTGATTGGTCCAATTTAAAGTTTGCATTATAACGACTGCATGACGACAGCGAAATAGCAAACATTTCTTGATTTGATGATTGATAAATTTCTTGCAAATATATTTCATTTTGGCTCGTATTTCTGCAAGATTTTGTAAATTTCAAGAAAGAAAGGGCGAAAGAATCAGCTAAAAGAAGGGAGCCGACGTTAACGAAGGTAAGTTTGTTTTAAATATTGATTTTATAATGGCTTTAAAACCCGACGGCCTTTGCGTATATGAAACAACTAAGCAAGACAGCATATAATTTCAGTGTATCTTTAATATTGATTCCCTTTTTTATTATATTGAATTTTTTAAATAAAAAATAAAGCAAAGTTATTTGCAAGCGAGAATTTGAAATCATTTTATTGCAAACTCAAAGTTTACCGATAAAGCCATTTAATAGTTAAAGGCAGTATGACGAGACAGACAGCTCCAGGTTCGCAGCTCCAGGTTCGCGAACCTGGAGCCAGCTCCAGGTTCGATTTCAACCTGGAGCTGGAACGACTAGTTTGTAAATAAACTGCTTTTGCCGCTTAACCACTAATGGAAATCCAATTTTTTTGAAAGACCATTTTTACTTGTCATATTCCTTAGTACGTGAGGGAAAATGAAGACATTATTCCGTTCCGTTCGTCCATGGTAGCTTGTGAAAGATCACTGTTTTTTTCTGACAAAGGGGCTGGTCAGCGGTGGGATAGATCGCAAAGCTCGTTTAAAACCTTTTTTTTTACCTTTATAACGAAAAACGTAAAATTTTGATTGATGACCATTCTAGAGCATGTATTCAAAAGTAATGTCGAGCGTTGAACTTATTTCCACATCGCGAAACCGCGATAAATAACTCGCGCAAAGTTGAACTGTCTAATTTCACGCAGGCCCAGTTGTGTTAATTTTATCCTTCCGTAAATACAACAACTTTGGTATCCGTACATTTACGCTTTATATGAGTAATAATTTGATATGTTAATGACATAATATCATTTGTTGCGCTTTTCTGAAGAACTAACGATATAAACATGCTTAATATCCGAAACAAACGACGCAAACAAGATCGCTAAAAATGGTGTTATTATGCGGCTCAAGTCGTCGAAAGGCCACAACATGTCAAATACATCTAGCATCGTCTAAATTGCTTGGCAAATTTCTTGCTAATTTCGCCCTGCCACGAATTTCTAAAATATGACCCTTCTAGACTAATATTCATACTATCATATTTTACAGCATTTGAAACTTTAGGATACATATCCACCATAAGCAACTCATGAAAACACTAGCATTCGTTACCGAGATGAGAAATCAACTTTCAAGAGATGTGAAATATTAAACGTAAACAATAAACACGTCATCAGCTGGCACGTGCCGGACATTTGATAATCTCAGGGGAAAACCGTATTAACTATAATGTCAGCATGCAAATGCAATGAGGACATGGCAAGGCATTTAAGAGTGCCGAGGAATAGGTTTATAGGAACAAGGCAATTTTCCTTGTTTAGTTATGCGCTGTATTTTTTCAATACATGAAAAAACACGCTTTTTCACAAAGATAAAATATTTTTAAAGCATGCGTAGGTTTGAATTTGCGATTGCGCTGATTATGTTAATTAAGAAGGCTTAAAACACACCCCTCCTATTAATTAACTTATACTGGCAAAAACGATGTTTTTAGCTCACGTGTTAAAAAAAAGAGTACAGCGTATATAAACCTATGCATGACATTATAGTTAATACGGTTTTCCCCTGAGATTATTAAATGTCTTGCACGTGCCAGATAACACGGAATATTGTTTAGGTGTAATATTTCACATCTCTTGAAAGTTGATTTCTCATCTCGGTAACGATGCTAGTGTTTTCATGAGTTGCTTATGGTGGATATGTATCCTAAAGTTTCAAATGCTGTAAAATATGATAGAATGAATATTAGTCTAGAAGGGTCATCTTTTAGAAATTCGTAGCAGGGCGAAATTAGCAAGAAATGTGCGAAGCAATTTAGACGATGCTAGACGTATTTGACATGTTGTGGCCTTTCGACGACTTGAGCCGCATAATAACACCATTTTTAGCGATCTTGTTTGCGTCGTGTGTTTCGGATATTAAGCATGTTTATATCGTTAGTTCTTCAGAAAAGCGCAACAAATGATATTATGTCATTAACATATCAAATTATTACTCATATAAAGTGTAAATGTACGGATACCAAAGTTGTTGTATTTATGGAAGGATAAAATTAACACAACTGGGCCGTGCGTGAAATTAGACAGTTCAACTTTGCGCGAGTTATTTAACGCGGTTTCGCGATATGGAAATAAGTTCAACGCTTGATATTACTTTTGAATACATTCTCTAGAATGGTCATCAATCAAAATTTTACGTTTTTCGTTATAAAGGTAAAAAAATAAGGTTTTAAACGAGCTTTGCGATCTATCCCACCGCTGACCAGCTCCTTTGTCAGAAAAAACAGTGATCTTTCACAAGCTACCATGGACGAACGGAACGGAATAATGTCTTCATTTTCCCTCACGTACTAAGGAATATGACAAGTAAAAATGGTCTTTCAAAAAAATTGGATTTCTATTAGTGGTTAAGCGGCAAAAGCAGTTTATTTACAAACTAGTCGTTCCAGCTCCAGGTTGAAATCGAACCTGGAGCTGGCTCCAGGTTCGCGAACCTGGAGCTGCGAACCTGGAGCTGTCTGTCTCGTCATAAAGGCAGTTTAGTTTTATAAAGAACACTTTAAAACGTTTTGTGAATTGTTTGTGGTTGAATTTTACCTTAAATTGAAGCTTGTATTACGTATAATTACATACCTAACATATATATGTTGGGAAATTGATAATTTTGTAATTAAAAGTGATATTTTTAGGCGATTTTCATTTGTAAGAATATTCTTAAAAGATTATCGTGTTACCATGACAACTACTTTAGATACTTCATGTTAGGAAAATACAACGGTTTTGTCAGCAAGGCGAGGGTTTCTGCATGCATGTATTTTCTAGTAAATTGTAATTTTAATAACATCAACTTTAGTGTACAAGAGATCTCATCGATATTTAACGTAAAGTTTCAAGAAGCATCGACCATTGTAAGTAAATGTGGAATAAATACCAAATTATTTACCGACAGCTAGGTAATGCTATATAGATATAGATGATTTCTTGATTTTTATGTAAACAGAAACACCTTTGCATGCTATTTAACACGTCCACATCGATTTATCCCAGGAGAAACGTAATTTGGACGTGGTTGCGTTGTGTACACTATATTCTTTATAAATATATACTCGATAAAAAGATTCTCCGACAATCGGCTTGTTTCCTGCAATACTAATTTACGAATTTTGGATTGATAGTGTGAGACATTCTGACCACCGGCAACCGTTTGCCGATAGTTAAATATGAAGCATTTACATATTTGTTTGCGTGCGAACAACGGCCGATAAATAGATCTGGGGTTGGTTGTATAAATTAAACAAATCTATGAACTATTGACTACAAGCAAACTAATCTTTTCTTTTCTGTCTAGACATAATAACAATGCATAAAACTACTCATTTAGTTGATAAAAATTAAGTTCGAGGAATGTTTTTAATTTTTTGCCTATACACCCTTTAAGCCAAACGCCTTTGATACAACCGACCCCTATTCAATTTCGTGTTAGGTTTGTAAGGTGGGGGGGGGGGAGATGGGGTCATCAGGGAAACGTACATAATTAGGAAGTTCCTCGTGGAATAAATCGATACGCGACACTTTCAAAAATATCTTGCCCCTCACAGACTCAAGAGGGGTCTCAAGAAATACGGCAGCTTAAAATATAACACAATGAAAAATTGTTTAAATGTTTCAGGAAAAAATTGGTCTGAATCATTCAGTGGAATAGCACATCATGCCTACCAAGAGTCCATGTTTTACTAAGGGGCCGATCATTTAACTTTTGAGGGGGGGAGGGGGGTGATTTTGAAAAAAAAATTCCTGCAAGGCTATTCTGAACAAAAAAAAATAATACCTGCACTAACAAACTGGGGAAAAATATCCTGCCCCAGTATTTGGTGCAGGGATCGATTTGACCAGTCCAAGAAGATCAGCTGGTTTGATTTTCAGGGACTAGTGTAAGGTTAATTTCTTGTTGGAAAACTCCTCAAAATGCTGGAAATAGCTTATCTGAGCTTCAAAAAATCCAAAATTTTCAGGGGGGCATGCCACCAGACCCCTCTAGAGGCTCGCGCCTTCGGTGGTCGACTCAGTTGTCTCAGAGTCCTAGTTAAGCATGGCCTGAGCTGCTGCCCTATGACGTATACTTATTAGTTAAACCATGCATATATATGCTGTAGGTAGCTGCAGTGATACAGACAGGGCTGTAGCGAGGAGGGTGGTATTGGGGGGTGGTTAACCCCCCAACTTCTTTAGAATCAACATATTCAGAAAATCGGGTTGGCCATTCGGAAAATTATGGCAATAATAGTAGAACAAAATTTTAGTTGTTAAACAGAGAAAATATTATAAAATTGTATTGTCACTATAAATTGTAAGCGAATTGTAAATTTCGACATACTAAAACGCTTTTTTCTGACCATCAGCATTCTGTCAAAACTTCCCCAAAGTCCAGCAAATGGCATTTCAAAGACATTTCTATGAAATGGCATTTCGAAATTTAAAAATTTCCTCGGCCCTCCGACCCTCGCTTTCTGCCCCCAATAAACAAAAGCTCTCTACCGCACTGCTTCTGTAAAATATGCGTATCTTTGTTTGTAAATTGCGTCTTCATTTTCCGAATAGCAAACATCTTCGTGGCTTAGTATGCCATGATATATTCAGAAATTATTTTCGTCATTCGAAAATTTTTGCCCTACAAACCCCGGGCCCCCCCTCCCCCCAACTATACATACTATAGCTACGGCCCTGGATACAGACTTGCCGACTGGAACTTCTCCAGGTCCCCCGCTAATTATGTCCTCTCCAGTTACACATCCTTAAAAAAGGCCCTGAACCAAATGTTATACCTCATAGCAATATGTATCATTAAGAGCAATGCCTGAAGCGGAAAACTCAACGTTAACTATAATTAAAGAATCTAAATAGTATAAGCTATTGAAAAAAAAATGCTGCGAAAGAAAGTGTGGCAAAAAAAATCGTACATGGGATAAAAAAAAAATCTTGCACATAACGATCCCAGAAAATAATTCCCTGCCAGCAGTAAATCACCCCCCCCCCCTCCTCAAAAGTTAAATGGTCGGCCCATAATCGGGTCCAGTCCATGTTTTACTAATTGGTCCAGTCCATGTTTTACTGCATGCCCTCTTGTACACTAAAGTTCATGTTATTAAAATTACAATTTACAAAAAAACAGACAAGGAACTACATTTAGGAATGTTTTACTAATCGAGTCCATGTTTTACTAATCGAGTCCATGTTTTACTAATCGAGTCCATGTTTTACTAATCGAGTCCATGTTTTACTAATCGAGTCCATGTTTTACTAATCGAGTCCATGTTTTACTAATCGAGTCCATGTTTTACTAATCGAGTCCATGTTTTACTAATCGAGTCCATGTTTTACTAATCGAGTCCATGTTTTACTAATCGAGTGCATGTTTTACTAATCGAGTCCATGTTTTACTAATCCAGTCCATGTTTTACTAATCGAGTCCATGTTTTACTAATCGAGTCCATGTTTTACTAATCGGGTCCAGTCCATATTTTACTAATGAGTCCAGTCGATGTTTTACTACATGCCATATTCGCAGGCTATTTACATAAGGCGTGTCTGTATTAATTTGTCACATTGTATTTTACATTTGATTGACAACACTATAAATAGTGATGGGCACAGACGCATTTTTATTGACTAAACCGGCAGGCTCTAATTCAATTCATTTTTTCAAGTAAAAAAAAAAAATTCGGAAGATTTTGAAGTTTTGCTTTAGAGAGGTGCCCTTAGTGTGGGTCCGCCCCCCTTTGCCTTATGATCGTTCCGGCGTCCCTGGACCGAATGACATAAAACTGACATGTCAACTCTAGCATTTTCGTCCTTGGTCGCGTAATTTTGAAAACGGGTGTAATAGTTGTATACTGTACCCTGTGCGTGTGAGCAGACGCTTAATATCAAGTCTTCAATCAATTTCACGTTTTTGTTTCGTAAATTATAACAACATTTGCTAACATTGAATATGCCTGCATCATTCTGTCATGATATTTAAACGGTCAAATATAAACTTATTACTATTAGTAAACATTGTCAACACCGTATACTAATAATTGGCTAAAACGTACCTGCAAAAACGCGTACCCCTTCTTTTATTTGTGAAGAAACCCCTGGCTAAAACGTACCCCTTTCTTTTATTTGTGAAGAAATTATCGTTTTTATGTTTTTCATCATGGCGGAAAGTACAGAGCGAAAACTTTACGGCAACTTACGAGCAATTACCGACTGACAGAAATCCAAATTTCTTCTATATTTTGATTCAAGCTGCATCGTTATAACTCGGTCAAGGAAACTGGCACGAGTCATGACGTCAAAATCAGTTGTCGAGATTAGTGTGCTGCCTACGGCAGCAATTGATGTAATTTGAAGACAACCAACATCGTACCCAGGGCATTTTGCTTCCGGTCAGCGAAAATGGCATGACCTCAAAATGACCTCCAAATCTCCACATGACCTCAAAATCTCCAGCATTTGGGGTGTTCAATTATGATAATTTATGCGTATAAGTACGTATATAGAATAATGATATGCATTGTAATAACTGGCAGGTGTAAATAAACTCAACGCTGCGTATATAATCAAAGGGAAAGCAACGAAATAAGTTGATTTTATTCGGTTTTCGTTGTTTACACCTCATTCAGCAACATAGCCCGTATTGATATTGATGACTATTAAACATATTCAGAGCCTGTTTAGCCTGTGATTCATTTCTGAATGAACAACCAAACAAAACAAAACAAAACAAAACAAAACAAAACAAAACAAAACAAAACAAAACAAAACAAAACAAAACAAAACAAAACAAAACAAAACCGCTTCAGCGTTTGCCGTTTGGTTTATATAAATCGTGTTATGATCAAATATATTGGTATCACAATCTTTGACTATAAGTATAACGCTGTACGTTTCTTGAAATCGACGATGTATAAACAACGCATGTGAGAAATTTATGTTGAACCGAATCAAATACTCGTCTATACAAATGTACAAAGACTTAATTTTATGAATTTTCTGTGTTGGTGTTGTGTACTCAGGTGAATAATATGTTTGCGATGTTACTCTGAGTGCATATCCACACCGGGTGAGCTTGAAAAATATATGCCCGGCCTCGGTGGGATTTTTCAAGCTCGCCCGGTGTGGATAATTTACTCAATACTTTGAAATTCGTCCTTCAAGAACTAATCATAAATTTGTCACTCCACTCTCGTTTCAACAAAATAATAATTATTTCCCCTGTATATTGAATAATTATATTCAAAATCATTGACCAATCAGGTTGCAAAACAGACCAGCCGACGCCAGGCCTTTTTCGCTGACCGTCCAACCGCGGAAGCAAAAAGCCCTGGGTACGAGGTTGAGTATTAAACGATAGCTATTTTTAGTGATTCCGGGATTAATCCGGTATCAAACGTTAAATTTAAAATATGTGCAAGAGGTTTGCAGATTTCTTGTTTTATAGTTTTTGTCATTTTGGCACTTATATTATCATGTCCTGCACTTTTATTTGTATTTAAGTTATCAATCTCAGTCAGTATTTCAAGTTCAGTAACAGGCTCAGCAAACATGCTCTCTCTATAGTAAAATTCCTTTGAGATATTTTTCAAATAATACTGTATCATTTTTTCGAATACCTTTTGCCAAATTTCATTATTTGGACCAACATTTACAAAATATTCATTAAATTTGTTAGCAATTACAATTGGGTCAGAAAAATTAATATCTGAGTTCTTTTGTTGAAACACGTGAGGAAGTTTTTCCTTCTTTTTATTTCTATTCAATAGTCTATTTATAATTTGCCATGTCATTTTACTATTGTTTTTGTATTTAGTAAATTGATTTTCAAAGTAATCTTGTTTACTAATTTTAATTAAATGTTTTAATTTATTTTTGTAATTTTTGTAAATAGTTTTGTTCCTTTCACTTGGGTTTT